GTCTTGTTTCATTTGATATGTTGACTTTGTTGACTCCTTTTAGAAGGCTTTACCCACTCTGAGGAGTGAAGGAAGTGGGAAAGTGGGGACATAAGGGGGCTGAACAAGGGAAGGGATGGGGAACTGGGGTTGATATATAAATTGAAAAGTAAATATTTTTAATAAAATATCTAATACTAATAAAATTACTAATGGTAAAAAGAAACATTTTAAAGTAATTACTTATAATGATAACCATTCTGAAATACATGATAGTTTTGAGAATTCTCTGTACCGAACAGTTAACAAGGAATGTTTGTTTTTTGTAGATACATTGCTGCTATAATTAACCTTTCTGACAAATCGAATTGAATAATAAGGATATAGTAGTTTGTTTAGATGGTAGAGTTGGGGAGAAATGTTCTCAACATCACTACTCAGGATGTGGCTCAGTGACCACAGATTTTGCTCTGAGGGTCCCTACACAAGATCAGGAATAGCTATAGAATTTTCAAATACATGACTATGAAAGAAAAGAAAGTCACAGATTATTTCAGGAGAAATACAATGAAAATGTATTAGTTTACACTGAGAATATATACATGAAATCAAAGAACACTGATTGAGTCAATGGTAAGTATCTTCATAGAAAGATCACATTGAAAAACTGTATTGAAAAGGTTCAATGCTGTTTTGTTAGTCCATTACTTGCACTTTTGTTAATGTTAATGTGGAGAATAGTTTGTAAAGCTCCCAATCTTTGTGATAATGAAAATTGTTTTTATGGACGTTAATTGATGTTTAAATTTTAAGTAATTTTACAATGACAAAGGATTTCTTAAAAATACTATTTACTGTTTTCTTCTATATTCCTATATTATATTTTAACTCATAAAAATGAACATTCACTTTTTGTTTGCTTTCATCACTAAAAGTGTTAAAATGCTTTCTTTTTCATATTTTAGTATTTTATTCATACCAGCATGAGATATTGATTTGCTGGGTTCTTATTTTCACATTATATTCCCTATGAATATTTTCCATATACAGTATTTTTGACCATATTGTATTTCTCAGCATTATAGTATTTTATTGTAAAATTCCTTTTTATTATTTTATTTTCAATTTGGGAAAATGGAATGAATGCTATTTCAGAATTACAAATAGGGTTCTGGAATAGTTTCTAACAAGTTTTCTAAATGTATTGAATAAGTAAATTCATTTCACTGTAATTGGACTACTTTACAATATGATTATAAAAAACATTTTTCTTTTGACTGATTCAATCTTTCATCCTGTTGTGACTATGTAGGCACTGCTTAAAATAATGTTGCCATCAATAGTCACAAGTTATATTTGAATTATGATTTCTAGAATATCATTAAAATAAATGAGGTGGGCTGAATAGATTGGCAAAAAAGTACAATACTATAATGCCGAAGTGGAGATGGGTGAACATGTATATAACCTGGCTGCCATGAACCTCAGGAAACCCAGATATTTCTATGAACCATAAAGCCTGAAATCTGGTAGTCTGTTCAATCACATAATTATTTACACATAAAGTTGTTTTGTTAATTTTTTAAATTTTTATTTTATTTATTATTTGAGAATTTCATGTGTATAATGTAGTTTTTATCCATCAGCTTACAATTCTTCCTATGTCCTCCCATAGCTGAGTAAAAACAACTTTTAGATTCCTGCTTAACATTGTATTTACTCTCATTTTATATTAACACAGATGAGTAGAACAGAAAGTATCAGGTGACTACTTATTGAATTTCAGTTGACACTACCACAGGGCCTGAATAAGAATTATTTGGCAAGATTATGAAATATACAAGAATATATTAGTCAACTAAATAAGAGATTTTTATGAGTATTTAGCTCAATTTTCATCTACTACTTTATTTTATAGAAATGATTTATTTTACAGCGTCTGTTTAGGCTTATTATGTTCTACATGATATAAAATCATAACTCCTAATAATAAACCCTAGCTACTACACTGTGCTATACCATTATTGACTTTGTAACAAAACACTTAAGAATAGCTTCCTGGAGATTTGCAGTGTTAGTTCAATCATAACTGGGTATATTTAGTAAGCATAAAAGATTAAACTAACATTTATTTAATATTTAAGTTAGCATCAGCCTTTGTTGTCTTTGAAACTTCCACTCAGTATTGCTGATTTGTTTTCTTTTATTGCTTTTTAGTTTTCTTGTTTGTCTTTTGTAGAAGAAGGCTATTGAATCATGAGTGTCTGTAAATGACCACAAGCTTAACATTTTGCCACTGAATAAGAAATAATGATCAACTATGACAATTTTTTCCTTTAGATTAGCATTTTATCTCCAGTTATGTCTTTACAGAGATATATACTCTATCTTGGTAAATAAGCTCTCTTCTTTGAGAGGACAAAGGAATAGAGAAGAAAGTTCATGAATGTTACCTAGAATTGGTGAGCCCAGGTTCAGAAGCCAAGAAAAAAAAAAAAAGAAAGAAAAGGAAAAAAAAAAGTCGAAAGACAACAACAACAAAAATCTGAGCCTACAAAATTAGAAAAATTAAAGAAAAATCCCCTAAGGAGCATATAGTTAAGTTTTCTTAAAGAACTAATGACAATGCTATACATTCACACCTTTATATTCTACCATAACTTAACTCATAAAACATTATTTTAACTTGTAAATAAATATGAAGAAAAACAGCACTGTCTATGGAAAAGAAAGAATTAAGTATAATTTCCATTGATTTGCATCACTGATTGCATTCACATTTTCATTAAGGCAACATATCTTCCTATATTTATTCTTATACTATTATTTTGACATGATTTTCACAAAAGAACTTTCAAAGTCCCTAGACTTATTAAATTTTGGTTATATCAACTAACTAGAAGCATCCTATAGAAAATAGGTAAAGGTGTAGAACTGAGAAAAAATTCTTAATAGTCTGTAGCAGATTTTCTTTTATTTCCATGTATTGTCAGTGTAAGAAATGCTGAATTTCTATCTGATATTTCATGGAAGGACTCCATACCTAGTGATCTCCTTACTCAATGCAGTTTTTAGTCCATCCTGATTTATCACAGAATGACAACTGGTAATTTATATGTTGACCATCTTATTCTATTCTGAAAAATTTCTTCTTAATCCAATGACATAGTGACCATGTAGAATGTGCTTTTTTCATTTTATGTAGCTTATGATTGGAAACAGGGTTAATATTAAAGATCCTAGTGAAGAATCATCCTAGGAATACCAAGATGTAGTTGTTTCAAAGTATATATATACACATTTTCTTCTTCTTCTTCTTCTTCTTCTTCTTCTTCTTCTTCTTCTTCTTCTCCTTCTCTCCGTCCTCCTTCTCCTTCTTCTTCTTCCTCCTTCTCCTATATTTCACCTTCTTCCTCTTCCTCTTTCACTTCTTTAATTGCAATTGTATGTTTTCTTTGTAAATACCAGTCATTAAAATCAACACTGTTTTCTTCTCTATAAATGCATTAGAATTTTAAAAACATCTATATTAGCATATACATAAAGGCATATATTTATATCTATGCATGTATATTCATACAGATATTCAAGTAGATCAATATATTTAGTATAAACAATCTATGCTATATTCAGTAGAAGATACAAATACCTTTTGTACTGTGAATTCCTTGGCAAATTGAGTTCAAGAGCTGGAATATTTGTCTGCATGATCCAGTGAAGCAACTGGGTTTACAAGTGAGTGGATTATTCCTATCATTATAAGGGTAATATCATGAGTAATATTTTCACATTGTCAAGCTTGATTCTCCTTATAGTCATTAAAAATGAGTAAATAGTATATTTATGAACATGTTTTATACTAAATTTTTATGCATTTCAAACCATATTTTTGTAGTATTATATTTTTCTGAACAAGCTCAAATTCTATAAAAGTCCACCAGGAAATTAAATCTCAGGATTCTAAAATGTGTTCAACAATTCGTTTTTCCTCTTCAACTATATAATTTTCACACAGGTTGTTGGTTCATCATCTTTTAGTAATCCATTCTTAACATCTTTTATTAAAATGCCTAATTAACATATGGCAATGGAATAAGATATCATAACTTTATATAGAGAGGGAGATAGTAAAAAGTCTACAGCTACTCTGAAATTCTCATTGTTTAAAAAATTTTCACTATTTTACCTTGTTGATTCTCAGTAGAGATCATGTATGGTTTTTCTTAAAATCCAATTGTAACATCTTATTTATTTGAACTTAAAATTTTGTTAAAACTTTTGTATATGTCGCATATTTGACTAGGAGACTGAGTCTTGCCTAGTCTCATTTTTTGATTCCATTCAGTCACTAATACAACAGCATCATTTTTATAAGCTCTGGACACACAGAAAATTGATGACTTAAAAAATAATTTCAGAATCATGTTAATGGCAGATATTCTTGTATAAAACTTTCTGAGTTATGAAGAACAGATTACTTGATGTGAAATCTAATACACTTCATGCTGTAAAACAAAACTTAAAATGCCATGATTTTAAAAGTACATTTATCTCTTCTTTTGGTAGATGGAGCTTCAAATCACCACTGAAGATGACTCAGCATAGCCTTGTGCAATGCAGATGACAAATATAATTAATAATATTTAGTCTTTGGTTTGTTATTAAAGTATGGTTTCCAACTGAATTTCAGTATTTTATTACAAGAAACATTTAGAACTTGACAAAAGTTGAAAATTCAAAATGGAATTCTCAATCACAATGATTTTATTCAAAATAATTAATACTTGTGACTATTTTAAATTATTTAAGGGTTTCTACCTCAATTTTATGTTATAACTAACAAAACATTTTTTAAATAAAATACCTGTCCGCATCATTGTTTTGAGCAGTAATAAAATCAATCAAGATAATTTTACATAAAGATACAACATATTGTTGAAGCTTTAATCTAAACTTTTATGATTTATTTTTCTTGTAATTGCAGATTTCATATATTTTTTTTAGAAGTCCTCTATAAAATCATGCAAAACCAGAGCTTTGTCACTGAGTTTATACTCTTGGGGCTTTCACAAAACCCCCAAATTGAGAAAATATTATTTCTTATATTTTTATTGGTCTATCTTGCAACTGTTGTGGGTAACATGATGATTGTGGTGACCATTATCTATAGTCCTGCACTGCAGAGCTCCCCTATGTACTTCTTCTTGGCATTCTTATCTTTTCTGGATATATGTGTCTCTTCTGTTGTCACACCAAAGATGATTGCAGACTTGGTTTATGAGAGGAAGACCATCTCCTTTGAATGTTCCATGACACAGGTCTTTGCTTCGCACTTTTTTGCAGCAGTGGAAGTCATCATCCTGGCAGCCATGGCCTATGACCGCTATGTGGCCATTTGCAAGCCCTTGCACTACTCTTCCATCATGAACAGGAGACTCTGTGGTATTCTGATAGAGGTGGCCTGGGCTGGAGGATTCTTACATTCTACCATACAAATTGTCTTCACATTGCAGCTGCCCTTCTGTGGACCCAATGTCATTGATCATTTCATATGTGACTTGTTCCCATTGCTGAAGCTTGCCTGCACTGACACACACATTTTTGTCATTTTGGTGTTTGCCAACAGTGGCTCTATCTGCATCATTATATTCTTGCTTTTGCTTGTTTCTTATGGTATCATTTTGTTCTCTTTGAGAGGTCACAGTTCTGAAGGGAGAAGTAAGGCTCTGTCCACCTGTGGATCCCATGTTGCTGTTGTAGTTTTTTTCTTTGTTCCTTGTATATTAATATATGCCCGACCTACATCTCCATTCCCCTTTGAGAAAAATGTATTTGTCTTTACAGATGTCCTTACACCATTGTTCAATCCTATGGTATACACTTTCAGGAATAAAGAAATGATAAATGCCATAAGGACAATGTGGAGGAGGCTAGTAGTGGTTTCTGGTCAACAATAAATTTTGTTATTTACAAGACTGAGGAGATGGCTCAGTGCACAAAAGGACTTGCTGTGTAATAATAAGGTCCTTTGTTTGGTTCCTTATTACTCATGCACAAAGCCAGGTATGGTAGATAATCTTTTACCTACTGTTGCTGAATCAGAACCAGGCAGATCCTGGGAATGAACTGGGCAAGGAATCTTTGATTAACACAACTAGCTAAAGACCCAGTCTCAGACCTTTCCTTAAGGAACATGGTAAAGAACCATAAAAAAGGATCTTTAACACCTCCTGAAGGCTTCTCAGGCATGTGAATTTGTACCTGTAATTTCTACATGTTCTCACATACATGTACCCAAAAAACATACAGAAGCAAATCAAATAATTGCTTTTAGCTAGCTTCATGTAAAGAAAAGACAAACTGCACATTCATTTATGAAAGTTCTTCATAATTACACTTATAGAAATATATAGAACACTATTCTATAGAGAATGCATTAACACTGTATATGAGAAATATTTTCAGAAGATCATAATTTTTCTATACATTGAACACTCATAATGTCATATATCATTTAAAGTCAGTTTAAATGAACATATACATTTTAAATAGAGCATTCAGAAATGATGCTGTAAAGTTTTACAAAAATTTTTATAGTTTCCATGTTGAATTTATTTTATGCACTCACCTACCAAAAAAAAAACCAAAACCAAAAAAGTCCATGACAGAATAAGAACTAATAAAAAGAAAATTAAACTAAATTGAATTCTATGTCCTTAAAAAATCTAAGGAATCATGGAAAGAGACTTAGATATTAAAATATCTATGAAAAATTGGTCTTGAAATTAGGACAAAGAAGCTGAACATATTACAGAATATAGGTTTCTTTCTGACACTAATATTATATTAACTAGAATTACACAGAGAGGAACATAATTAGAAACCTTATATTATATTTTTCAAATTAATATGTGAAGATAGGATTTATTTTTCAGATGGAATCTCACTATATATTTCTGGCTGGCTATGGAGACCCAACTGGTGTCAACATCTCAGCAATCTGCCCAGCTATGCTTTTGGAGTGCAGGGATTAAACTCATGCACAAAAAAATCCATAGGAGATAGAATTTTAAATCATAAGGGATTTGTAGAATGTTGAAACTGTTTTGGGAAGGATAACTGATATCAAACACTTGTATATATCCCCTTGTTTGTAAATAGCTCTCTTTTCTTAATTTTAACTTTTGATAATTAAATTTTTGAATAATTTTAGTATTCTTTCTTGCATTCACTTTCCTGAGACATTTTCACAAATTATTGTTAGCTTGCTATTATATACTGATTCTAACAGAAATAATTTTCAATTAAACAAAGCTGGCAGAAAATGCCAACAATGGTTTAAAAACGTAATCATGGATACGGAAATGTTAGTCTCTGTTAGCTGACCATTACTGAGTAAGTGTTACCCGATATGAGATATAATTCATGTCATGCGTTCCCAACTGAAACCATCATGAAAATATTTTGCCTCCATCTTCCTACTGAGAATCTCATGAAACCAAACCTGTCTTGGTAAGTTCAAAATCTTATACCAAATTGCTTTACCACTCAAAACTTTTATTGAAATCTCTCAACCTTATACACTTTATACCTCTTTAATTTCTTTTATGTGTCTGGTAAACAAGAAAAACTCTACCTATCAAACCTTCATTTCCCTCAGAGATCCAAAAGGGAAATAATATTATCTAAGCAAGCATGAATTATGAGCAAGCAACTTCCAAAATATGTGAGAAATGACAAAAAGAGGTGACACACTTGTCAGTCACCCAGGTCTCCTATGAAACACTGGGACATTCATCTTTGTCTTAAAGGCAAAACATACAGAATGTTGTGCAGACATTTTTATGTAGGAGGATTTTTGAAGTACTGCCCTGTCTTTGCTTGACAAGATTTGTCAATCACCTTCTTTTGTGTTCTGCTTGTAAAATTAGCATATTGTCAGCAGACAAGGTAAGAGCCCTTTCCTGCCCAGTGGCTTACATTTGCCACATAGAAAGTACTCTCTATATGGAGTTTCCTTGATGTCCATCTTCTTCTCTAACATAGATTGATGCTGCAAAAAGCAGAAATGATTCATTGTTTTTAGAAAAGAAGTTATGTTATTAAAACCCATTAAATTCCATATTCTGCACTTGCAATGAAGGGTTTGAAGACAACCTGTGTACCTAAAATATATCTGTTTGAACTAGAAAACATAACTAAAATGACTGCAACTTTGATTAAAATGTGACTCACTACTAATCTGCATTTCCTTATTATTCTAAATACTTGAAAATAATAACTTTCAAGGGCTAAAATTTGAGTTACATTGTTAGCTAATCTGTATGGGTACAATACCTTGAGCAAGATTGGAAATAAATGTAGAATGTTTTAACAAAATTAATCTCACTTTTTATCAGTATACAAAATTTGCATACAATCTTTAAAAGTTCAATCCAGTGTAAAATTATTTAAAACTAGTCATTGATTTTTAAAAGTAGATCCAATAATCTCTTTTATCTTATTTATAACCTCCCTTTTTCTTTTACACATTAAATTCAATAATCTACCTATTTATCTTATCATATCTGTATCCCCCCTTTTTTTTTCTTTTCAAAATATGAACCCTGAATCTAATCTCCTTTGTTTGGCTTTTTCCTGACCTTTACCAATAACAACTTGCAACCAGTTCCACTAAGCAATGACAAATATCCATAACCCAATGAAAGACCAAAAAACAACTCACCGTACATTTTAGGAATGTGGGCATTGTTTTCTTAAATTTACTTCCTATTGAATAGGTGTCCTGAAAAAAAAGAATTTGGGTTAATTGTCAATTCATGGGAGAGGTAGCTGCATCATTTGTTGTCCAATCTCTATGTAATGATAAAGTGCATGGCTTGTCTCAAGTCCTTGCCAATTTGAAATTGTTCTGCGCAGTTTGTAGTTAGAAGCCAATCTATGGTGGTATTTGTCTGTTTGGTGGTATTATCATAGCCCTTGTGGAATTACTATTATGGGGCTCCATCCTCTTTGGAAGACTTCAAAAATCACTTTTGGACATGATGTTTTCATGGTTCATTGAAGAAAACTAATAGAGACTCAAACCAAGAATCTTGTATAGAGAGGTAGATGAAGCAGTTGTTTAAAATTAGTATTCATTTTGACCATTACTATCATGACACGAAGTTTAAAATATATTATAAATTTTGAGATTTTTATACTTTAAAATAAGATATTAAAGAGTCAATTTAAACCAATAGATTATGAGGTTATTGACAAAAATAGTCCCTTGATTTCGGTTTTTCTTCTGTCCCATATCAGATTGTTCTTCTGACATGATACAGAGATTTTGTATTTTATTCAACAAGCATTCTTATGTTTTGAAAGTGAGAGAGTCATACTCAAACTCCAAAGTCAGCTTTAATCTTTAATTGGACTTGGAATACAAAAAGACCATGTATACTGCATATCTGTAGAGAAAAGCAAAATCAATCTTTGGGGAAGATTTATGAAATTTTATCTTGTTTGAATGCAATGTAACAATAGATATATTTACTCTTTTGGTCTTGGGTCATTTTTTCTGAATGATTTGTCCTTGTTCTTCACATGTCTCATTTGTCTAATGGTCTTCAGTTTTCTTGGTTGAATGCTGTTATTCTCCTAGAAAAACAGAAACTAAAACCCTTCACCAACCCTAATTTTGGGGAGGTTCTTTTTTGGAAAGTGTTATCTGATCAAATGGAAAGCATTTGTTAGTTTTATAGGCTAGTTTAGATTAAATAGCCATGATGTTTGATAAACAATCATCTCTTCTAATTAAGAGGTCTGTCTTGTTCAAATCAAATCTTTATTAATTTTTATGGTATCCGTAGCTTTTATTGTCCTGTGAAAACAAGCAAAACACCTTGCCCAAAATAACTCATGTGCTAGTTTCCATTCTGAGGCCATCACATTTTTAAAGTATACTGGCTGCTTTAATTCTGCAATTTTTTTATTATCTAAGGTCTTTGGCAGTTGTCATTCATTTCCCATTAGCCTTTAGAAAATTGAAGATCAATAAAGTATTATGTGATCTATTTTGGGGAGAATCTTTGCTACCACTTTCTGTTATTTTAAAATAACCTTTAGAGTTCCATTAGATCTCTTACAGCTATTTGCCCTGTAAGATTGTGTGATATACATGTAATATGCTTTATAGTATAATCAGCGAAATTCTGTTTCATTTTCTTAGAAATATATACTGAAGCATTGTCAATCTTAATAATAAACTCAGGTTCTCTGTCCTCCAGTCAAGGTAGAACAGGCTCACATCTCTGTGAGTTTACACAATTTCTCCCTTTTAATTTTATTTAATAAATCCTTTGCTCCTACTATAGGGCTGTACCTCTCTTGGAGTCATTTTCCAGATTTTCCCATAATTGGTACAGGCATGCCTTCAAGTATGTTCTGTCTTAGGTTACCTTGGGGTAAAATATCTTACCTGTCTCTAATGTCCAGTCTCTGTGAATAAATGGTTAAGGGAGAATTTATCTCTAGGTGCTGTGCACTTTTCAGCCAATTTTCTGTCAAGAGATTGAATCATATGCAAGCAGATAATGCTTTGAGATTCATATAATCCTGTGGCTACATTATTTCCTAATAATGACCTAAGGTGGGAAGCCTTATGTGGATTTAGCATGTAAAAATTTTCTTTGACAAGCTCTAATCTTCTTCTAATAATGAACTATTAGAATAATGAACCAGTTAATGAAACATTAACAGGTCAATACTAGTAATCTAGCACAAACACACAATTTGTCAAATCACAATTTTCTTATATCTGTTCTAATAAAAAGACAAAAAAAGGTTTGATGATGAGCTTGAGTCTTTTTTCTCTCATATAGTCCAACTGCATTGCTGCTTCTAAATTTCAAAGATAAGTCTGACTTGTCTCACTCTCTGAGCATTGGCATAAACTTTCAACATGTCTTTTTTC